AGCGGTATGGGACCGGTTGAGGGACCGCTGGTTATGATCCGGTTAAGATATTTGACGTTTCTGGGACCGAAACCGACCGGGACCGAGACCAGTTATGGAACCGATTATGGGCCCGGCCCGGTCAACGAAAGTCAATGAAGTCAAACTAGCCGTTAGGGACGATATTTGGCCTTTTTTTTCATCTTCTTTGCTACCAAATTAGTATAAATATGCATGGGAGTTTCCTAGTTAACATACCAACTCATCTCATCTTCAAAAACGTAAAAAACGATCTCAATTCTCGGTTTTTCGCTTCATTTTGTGAATTCGCTACGTATTAATTTCTCATTTCCACTTCACATTTCTCGTTTCTTTCTCTATTTTACTTACGAAATGACCGGTAAATAACCATCAAAAGAACAAGTTGCTCAAGTTCTCGCCGAACACAGACGAAAGTCCGAGATTTGGAACCACTACAACTTAGTGGTTCTCACGACCGGAAAACGAAAGACACAATGCAAATTGTGTCAGACTCTCCTTATGGCGGAAGAAAATTCTACGTTAAGGAGGCACACCGAAAAAATGTGCCCGAGGTTGAGGTCGGGGGGCAATTCAAACCAACCGATACTTAAAAATAACATATTACAAACATATTAATAACATATTAAAAATTTATTAATAACCAAAAATTTGAAAAAAAAATAATTTTTTTTGAATGGGACCGGCCGAAACCGGTTATGGGACCGGAACCGGGACCAGTATGGGACAACCGGTTACCAGTAAGCTTGACCGGTTACAAGGAAAATCACCGGAACTGGGACCGGTTATGGCGGGACCGGTTACCGCAGGTTTTTGGCTTGGTTAGGACCGGTAGGGACCGGTTAAGGCCTGGCCGGGACCGGATTTTGGCCATCACTAGGATGTAGTCAAATTTTTGTATTTTAAGGTCGTAAGATACTAATAAATGGCTTACTTTATGAAGATAAATCAACTCAATAAGCTCATAGTTTTCGTGCTAAAATTGTCTAAAAAATATGAAATAAAATAACTGGTTCAGATTAACCAACTTATTTTTATGGGTTAAGCTATTAGAGCTTTTAATGATTTGGCATGATAATACATGGCCGTCCTTTAGTATGTTAAATGTGAGATTTTGAACAGATTAGGGTCCAAATTTACAGGTGTTTAGGATTTTTTTTATCGACCTATGTAAAACTATAGACGGAATTATTTAGGTTCAAACTATTAATTGTTTGGTTTTAAATTAATGTTTTAGGTTTAGCTTCAGATTGTTAATCGTTTAGGTTTAACCTATTTTTGTTCTTAACATATATTCTCTGTTATCTCATTTATACAATATAATAAAAAGTTTTAGATATAACAAGGCCTTTAAAAATATTGAAACGTCACTGGATGATTGGATATGCATTTCTTTATGGTCAAGATCATGTAAGCTTCCAAACCCTTGGGGTTATTTTTGTAACAATGAAACCAAAATCCATTCACAACTGTTTAATTATCGTAGGAATTGGTGTTTGAGGTTTACGATGATAAGGAACTCCCTAACTTTTTGGAATTTACAATTTGAATACCGTAGTTTTAAATATCAAAATTCTACCACAAGATTTGTATTTTTCTCAAATAAAAAGAAGTTTAATATTTTCAAATTTAAATAACATCGACGAAATACATCATTTTACAATTTATTAACGATAAGTACATCGAATTAGTAGTTTTTACTAGATTTCGATGTTACATGAACATTAGTAGTAATACTGTCTGTCAAGGATGAATGCAACGCTTTTTGAACATTTGTCCAAATCTCAAACCACAATGTATGTCTTAAACTGGAAAATGTCGCACCTCGAAATGTGGTGTGACATAGTTTATACCTAACGTACTACAATTCAGTTCCTACAACTTCAAATTAAATTTGACACACACACACACATAGACAGACATATTTATGTATACTATTTAATATATTTATATATATAAATTATGCGGTGCGATATGGTTCGAACCAACAATTTCATGAGGTAGCATTTGTATACAGATAAAGTCTCACCACTAGAAAAATGCATGAGGTAGCGTTTGATAAGAGAGTAGGACTGAACAAGACTTGACAGGACAATACTGGATAGAACAAGTGTTTGTCTGGTGTTTGGTACGACTAGAACTGTACTAGACAGATCTAGATACGTTGCCCCCCAAAGTTATTTGATGATTTTATACATCATATAATAGTTATAATTAATATAAATAAATTAAATAATTTAATTTATAAGTCTTTTACATAATTTTCATATACATAAATACATATAATAATAATAATAATAATAATAATAATATAATTAATGGTAGTACGAAAAACTCCAATTTGTACAAATGCTAATTTATGTTTTATTTGATTTGGAATATACTTATCAATTGGTGAAGACACGATGAAAATTGTTGCAAGAACAATGGTTGTGGAGGTAGGTACATTGGTCATTGGTGGACAATGGTGATTGTGGAGAACCTGGTAAATGGATAGTGGTGGTAATGGTGGCGATCGACAATGGTGGAGGAGGTAGTCGGAGTTGATGTGGTGGAGGTAGTGATAGTGGTAGCCGAAGGTGGTGGTGGTGGTTATGGTGGAGGTGGAGGTGATAGTGGATGACAATACTGCGGGTGGTGGCGATGGGTGGTCACCACTAAAACAAATATCATATCAAAGTTATATATCAAACAAGGATAAATTAGTAATATCAAAATATAGTTTTACATGAACGATCTAGATGTCACCCGTAAGTACAATTTCATTCTTTAAGGCCAAATTGTTAAAGCATTATATGATTAAAATAATAAATATAATGGTTAAAGTTGGTAATTTGTGTAAGCTCAAGAATCATGTGAGAAACAAAGTTAACGTGAGAAGCGTATGAAGAAATCTAGACTCTTGAATCTTGATCAGCTTTAATCTCAAACTCATCTAAGAATTTTGCGTTTGATACGGGGATTGATCCGGTACATCTCGATGCATCTCATCCTATTGTAGTAATGTGTATCAAATGGTGGAGATTCTTTCTTACGTTTCTCAATTTAACTCTCATTCTCATCGAAACCCAAACCATTTGTATAATGAAATACTTAAAAATTATTTTATTGGACATCCTAACTTTTGTAAATGGTAAAAGGCGTATATTTACATAGTTTTAAGTGGGATTATTAATAATAAAATTAAAATCAATAATTATTTGATTAACCGGTAAATAGGAAGTTAATTATATAAAATTATATTTTTATCCTTTTTCTTTTGTTAATATGGTTGATGAATTTGTTCTTAGTTTTGGCTTCGAATGCCTCAAAGTGAGGGTGTTTGGGATTTACTTATTTACTTATTCTGGTGTGATACTGGTAATAAATAATTTTTAATGTTTGGATAAGAAAAAAAGGTTTATACCCGTATCAAACCGGTGATAATGAATTTTTGATAAATTACTTATTTTTGACTCGTAGAAACAACTTATAAGCTTTGAAAATCAAATTACTTTTTTAACCCTAAACCTAATAGATCACCGTTGTAACCTTCCATTGTTGACCCTGCAACCATTTCTTTAACCTAAGCATGGCTTAATCCTGCAATAATTTCTTTTTCTTCGATTTGTTCTTCATCGCTACCATCGTCAATCTCAAAACCCTTCAACATCTCCTTAGATTTTTGTTTTGACGATTTGATGCCACAAGTGATCAAATTATCGGATTTGTTGCCGTTTGAGATGGGGAGGACCATCGCTGATGAGGCCATTTTTGCCGGAAATTTATAGGGATAATTTGTTGTCATAGGATTTGGAGAGATGATTTTGCGTATAAGCAACGAATTTGGTTGAAAAGAGGGTATGTTATCGGTGGATCTGATTTCAATAAGAATGTGTTTTTTTTTGTTATTTTACATGTATACAAACATTAATGTGTTTGATATGCAGATTGGACGAGACACAAATGAATAGTCCTATGTTTGGTGTGCTATGGGACAAAAACGAGATGAAACCAACATGAGACAACTGTAAGGTTTCATGGGACTATTCTTGAGTTTTTTTTGTTTCACTAAAAAAACGTGGAACAACGTGAGACTAAATTTAAAATTACAATATTACCCTTATTATTTTATATCAATTACAAATCCTAATTCCATCACATCCTCTTTCTTCTTCCAACCTCCATTTCCTTGAGCTCGAAACCCTCCATTCCAGCCTCCATTTCAGGTACCATTTATCCTTAATCTTTCATGGTTATGGATTTCTCCTCAATATTCCATGGTTATCGATTTCTCCTCAATCTTCAAATAATGTGTTTCTGACTATTGGATATCATTGTTCTGGGGTTTATCTTTTAGAAGTAGCTTAACCTAGCATTGCTTCTGCATCATCTCTTCGTGGGTTTTTGTCTGGTCATTTTTAACAGTTTTGTCCGGTCCTATTCTAGTCGTACCAAATGTAAGATAAACAATTTAGTCTTGTCTAATAATATCCTGTTTTGTCCCATCCAGCCTGCGTACCAACAGTACCTAAAAAACAATTTATCAACTTGGTACTGTCATAACCTAATACAAATATTTTTTTTATAAAATCCGATTTAACCCCGTATAAGTTGATACACACGTTGTTTTAAGGGGGTGTTTATGATTGCTTAAAAAAACAACTTATTGACTTATTTTGGTGTGATATCGGTAATAAACACTTTTGAGTGTTTGTATCCAAACCGATAATAAGAAATTTTTAAAAAAGTTAAACACTTATGACTTATAATAAATTTACAAGTGCTTTTATAGATAAGTCGATTAGTGATTTCTTAGAAAATGATATATGTGTTTCAAATAAGCAATCCCTGAATAAGCAATCCCAAAAAGCAAACCCATATCGTTAAATTTGTTCTTTGTCCCATCGATCATTCTGATACACCGTAGTTGAAGGTAATCTTGTTTCTTTCAAAATGTAAATTCTTGATTATTTTTCCTTTTGTACGCACCGATTACGATTTGGATATTTCCGGATTGGAATTCAACTCAATGATCTGAAACCTAATAGCTCAAATTTATTTCCAGGTGTCGGAGATTTTGACTACTAGAAACAACCATGCTTAAGCGAATTCTCGGAAAACCTAAGCAAGAAGCTAACGCCGTAACTACGTTAGAAAAATTAAACGAGGTATTTTTCGATAACGAAAAGTTTTTGTTAGCTGGCTAGATGTATATGTACTTGTTGTTTGTGCATATCTGGTGTGAAGTATGAATTTGGAAGATCTAAAACTGTCCTGGATGTTCATAGTGTTCTTATCTATTTCATTTTGGATACAACTTTTGATTTGGCTTTGATCTGTTATCCTGGAGATAACATTGATTTTGGATTACCATGCTAACTAGTTAACCTTAAATAGTGCAAGCTTAACATTACTCCCCTTCCCAAAAAGATACTCTGTTCTCGAGGTTGAAGATCCAATTTTTTTTCTTCATCAATATCCATTGGTTGTGGGATCCCATTTTGTCCCTTGTGTCGCTCTTTCTTGTGGATCATGATGTGGGCACAGCAGGCCTCGAAACTCCCAAAGCAATCCCGAAAAGTTTCTCATTTCCTGGCCTCAATTCTTATCCGATATGAGGCCCATGAGCTCCTATACAAGGCCAACTTTAGTGACCTCCTCTCTTATTGCATCCTTGGCTCGTTCCTCACCAAAACGTAGGCTAATCCCGTCAATTCGATCATTAAGACGTCCATCCCACATGCCATCATGTTGCGCTGGACGTGGAAATGCATTAAAAGGTTATGGTAAAAGAAATAAGTAAAGAACTAAAAACATATAATACATGAACTGGTTGTCTTAGATTAGCTAGCAGATGAATATTTGAAAGTGAATAAATATGTTAAGAACACATCAAATACATGTTCATTTGTCTGTTGGGTCTCAAACCCATGATTTTCTATTTGTATTCTTTTGTTAGGGATACATGGAATTATGTGTGGTATCTTGTGTGCACCAAGTTATTTCGGAAATATATGAGATTTCCAGGGAACATGTTTACCAAGGTGGATTTAATGTGAGTGGCATTCACTGGTGAATGGGGGACTTCCTGTTCCTGGCTTATGGGTGTTTCCACTTGCAACCAGTACTTTGGATTGATCATGATCATGTTCAGTTTTGCTCAATTTTTAACCTGGACTTAGAAAATGCAACTTTAGTTATGCCATGTTTGTTACTTTTGAAAAAGAATGATTTAAACACTTGAATTTATGCACTTCAAGTTTGTCAGTACCGTAGGCCTCTTAAGTCTTGGATCTTTTTTGTTCTTTGTTTGCGTTACGGATGTTATTCAGCGTCATTACAATGTTTAAAGAGGAAAAGGCTCTATGAACAACAAATTGAACAGCTCGGGAACTTCCAATTACGTATTCATGACCAGGTGATGTTTTAGCGACGCGTTTCATCGTCAAGTTAGTTTAGCTTTCAAGAATAGTACACGAACAACAATTGTAACTCCAATATTGTTTGAGCTTGGATATCAGATGATTATGCTGGAAGGTGCAAAAGCTACCACAGAAACTGTTGATGCTTTGAGAACAGGTGCATCAGCAATGAAAGCCATGCAAAAGGGAAAGCCATGCAAAAGGCAACGTAAGTTATTCGACATGATGCTTTCGCCTACTTTCTGTAGTTTTCCACACATCTATTTATCACGAAGAAAGAACTGAGGGTGCGTTTGGTTTGCGGGAATGTTTTTGAGGGATTTGGATTCCCTTGAGGGATTTGGATTCCATGGGATTTGGATTGGATTGGATTTGAAATCCATTCCTCTGTTTGGTTTGTAGGATTTGGTTTCTAATACTTCGTATAATTTTTTTAACCTAATCCTGTGTTCATGAGATTTCAACCTAATCTGTCAAAATTGAAGGATTTAACCTAATCTGTGTTCATGTATATTCAACCTAATCTGTCAAAATTGAAGGATTAACCTAATATGTGTTGCATCCTATGTCGATTTGAATAGAAGCCAAAACATACACAAAAGGGATTTGAACAGAAAGTTGCATCCTATTCGATCCACTGTTATATAAACAGTTTCAAGGGGAAAAAGGATTTACCGGCGGGTTAGGGCGGCAGCTTCACAAGGGGACGGGAAGGGAGCATCGGCGAGGATGACCGATTAGGGCTGAAGCTTCGCGAGGGACGGGAAGAGAGCACCGGCGAGGAAGACCGACTAGGGCTGAAGCTTCGCGATGGACGGAAAGGGAGCACCGGCGAGGACGACCGATTAGGGTTGAAGCTTCGCGATGGACGGGAAGGGAACACCGGCAAGGAGGAGGGTGAGGGGGCAGGGAGGGAAGCAAGGCGAAGGAAGCGGGAGGAAGCGATTAGGAATCTCGTAGGATTGGATTTCCAAATCCCACCCCTTTGCAAAGGATTTCCAAATCCCATGTTCATGGGATTTTAATGAAATCCCAGGATTCCAAATCCCTCCAATTTGGCAAACCAAACACTGGATTGGAATGGATTTCAAATCCAAATCCCCCCAATTCCATTCCAATCCCGCAAACCAAACGCACCCTGATATTCCTCTGGTTTGGCAGGATTGTATGATTTTATATGGTCTCCATTTTATCTCGTAATATGTGTGCATGTACATAAATATATGTATGCATTCATATAAAAATATGTATGTGTGTGTATTTCAGCAGGTTGTAAGTTGTCAATAATTCCTGCAAAAAATTTGGTTGGCATAACTCATGATAGCAACCAATTTTTGCCTATCGCTTCTAAACTTTGACCAACCGCAGACATTTTCCAGACATGTGCTCTTGACAGTTAATACACTGATCAAATCATTTTTTACTGCATGCAGTAGAGTGGCTGGAGAAAATATTTTGCTCGCTGTTCACATGTGCGGGACTACTATTTTATTCTTTGTGTGATAATTCTAGTCCTATTCTTAATATTGTGTTTGTGTGTGTGCTCACACTATATAATTTTACTTGGAACATATGGGCGAAAAATTACTAGTGTATAATGATTCATGAAAACCGGTGTGCTTTATTGAAACATGATGTTAATGACCAACACTGATGGTCATAAATTCCCGTTGTTGGATCCTTTTCATCAGTAAAGTGCATTCTTGTTTCACAACATAGATTGGCATCCATGGCACTTTTGATCGAAGGAAATTTGCTACTGGATTTAAAATATTTTTAACGACTGCAGGAATATTGATGATGTCGACAAGACTATGGATGAGATAAATGAGCAAACTGAAAACATGAAAGAAATTGAAGAGGCATTAGCAACACCCATTGGTGCAGCTGCTGATTTCGATGAGGTACTGTCCACAATTTCTGTGACTCTTTATTTGAACATATGACTTTTAATTGCGTATCAAGAGAACTTTTTGAGTGACTGCAATTTCCCAACATTTCTTAATTTTGCAATCATGTTTTCCTGAGAGGTAGAACAGAGGAAGAAACAGACAAACTCTTGCCATTTTATACATTAAAAGAATCGAAATTGTAGTACAAGTCTATAAAACACTAATGTCAATGACCCCCATAAATAAAACACTTTCGATTAGAAAAGGGGATCTCAAAATGTAAGTGACCCAACTTTTTGGGTTTATTCATTGTACTTGTCAAAAGCTTTATGCTTGGTTCTTTGGGCTTGTAAGGCTTATGTTCTCCCGGCATGGGCTCATATAAGTTTTGTCTAAACAAAGTAAGACCCTTGAGATAAAATTGCAATAGTAGGTTACTTAAGCTTGGTTCATTTTGACCTATAGAACTGCCTGCTCATTACAATAATAGGCTTGAGTTTGGCTTGGAAGTCAGACAAGCCGGCTCGGCACTGGCTTGCCAAGCTTTTTGACGATCCAGGCTAATGAGCTAGATGAGCAATCTTGTTTCATCTATACCACCAATCATTATAGTTTTGTATACATGATCAAGTAACTTTGTTAATCCAGGATGAATTGGAAGCTGAATTTGAAGAACTGGAAGGAGCTGAGCTAGAGGAACAACTTCTCCAACCAGCCACAACAGCCCCTGCTGCTCCAATGCATGCTCCACCTGGCAGACAAGAAGTCCGCCTACCTCCGCGGAAGAATACAGCCGAGGAAGACGAACTTGCTGCATTGCAGGCAGAAATGACACTTTAAATAAATGGTTAGTAGTCAACTCCTAGAATTTATGATTCTTATCCCTCGAGACGCTACCTTGAGGTGGAATATACTGAGTTTGTTTTGGGTTTACTTTTAAAGGGTTTAATGAATTATTGAAGAAGTGGATTTGAAGGCCAGATGCAGAATTGGAGATGCATACACACTTTGAATAACTAGTTAGATGATTGATCTAAGTGTTGTATTTGTAAATGGACTCAAAAGATATGAATATGACTTTGTATATCAAAGTTCTCCCTCCTTGTTCCAATCATTTTCATTTTGAGCATATAAAATGAGTAAATTTCTATTTTAGTCCCTGTGGTTTGTTAATAATTTCTATTTCATTTGATATATTAATACTACTGATCAGCGTTTAACTACACTGTAGATTATCGAAATATCGTAAATTACTTCACTTTTTTGGTGTTACAAAGCGAGACTCATTTGGCGCTCAATCGAAATTGATGGTTGTTCTCATGGAACTTTCTTGATCAATATAGTTTTTTTCGTCTTCACTGAAACAACAAATTACATCAAAAGATTAGTAAAAATGTGTGTGTCAATCTATTTTAAAGGACTAATCATTAATAAGATGCAAGATAAAGGATAAAGAGTCTTATCAGATAATTTGCCATTCTAAAATGATTAGCAACAATGCGTGGGTCAATCTATTTGAAGGGACTAGTCATTAATAAAATGTAAGATAAAGGGCCAAAAATGTTAATGTGTATAAAGTTTAAGGGTTTCTTTTGTATTTTCTGAAAAGCTAAACAAGAATCGATAAATCGATCTCAGACGGTTTTTGAGGGTTTTCTTCTCCTCCGCGCTCATCGTCATCACCATCACTCCCTCTATAATCTCAATCTCTGAATGTTTTTCAGTTTCAGATAATCTCAATCGATCGAAGGATTTTAATATTTGAATATTTTTTTGTTTGTGTGTGTATATATATGCACAAAAATATACATACACATATAGCATGATGAGTGGGGAGCTAGCTTCGAACACCCATGGGAATCTGGACGAGCAGATTTCACAGCTCATGCAGTGCAAACCCTTAACCGAACCCGAGGTTTTCTTTCTCACACCTGATTCGAATTTATTTTGCATTTTAGGGTTTCTATGTTTTGAATTGCATGTTTGTTGTAATTCTTGATTTCTTCCGTCTTTGACTATGTGGTTTTTGATGGATCTGAGTTTCTTAAACGTGCAATGGGGTTTGATCAGTTATAATGTCGTCTAAAGTGTGTTTCTTTTTTGATATTTGAGTAATTCAGACAAATTGATAATTTTATTGTTCTTGTTTATTAGTCGACCTGAATTCTTGACCATATGTTTTTGTTGCCAAATTTATGACGTGATTAATCAACATTACTGGAAAAAATCACACTTCACTTTAGATTTCCAATGGAGCAGTTTTCCACTTCAAAATTAGTACGTACAAGGTTTGGTGCTCGCTGCCTGAAATTTGTGACAATTAAAAAGGAAAAAGAAGTATTAGGATGCTGTTGTCATTTTTGCAACACAATCCTTAGAAATTTGCATTAGGGATTTCCTGGGTTTGACATAAAAATGAACTACAGTTCTTCTATTTCTGGTAGGAAGAGGGTATATGATTTGATGGTTTAGTAGGTAGTGGTGCATTTAGCCTAGCCCTATCCTATATTATTCCTCAAGTAATTCGTAGTATACTTTTTCGGTGCTAAACAAATCAGATAAGTATTTTATATTAAAAAAATTGTGAAAAATTGGATAGGAAAGTGGATTACCTATATATAAGAAGATATACACAATCTGGGGGCACATGACGCATTCTAACGAGATCAAACAAAGAAGCTTGGCGGTCATGTAAAATGACTAAAATCTCCATGAACAAAGATGTGTATCAACAAGAAGGGGGGCAGGCTTTGAAAATCCTCAACATACATGAGTTCCATTTCACCAAGCAAAGTATCCGCATGACTGCATAACAGTGCCACAAAAAGATCCATTTAGATTATTCTATTGCCTTCCAAAATGTATGATGTTCACTTAATAAAGTAATCTTTGTATGTAGCTAATGTCCCATTTTTGAGTCATGAAACGTTAGAAGAATTATTGGTATCATCATCTGATGTAGTGGAATCTGCAAATTCATACAATTTTTGTGCTGTTGGATGTTTTTTTGGGATAAAGATACTGTTATGGGACAGAATGGGAGTATTATCATATACAGATGACATATAATAACACAGAGGATTGAGGCAAACTTCTCCTGACTCTTTGTTTAGTTTGTTAGTAATAAGTTGTAAGCAAGACAAACCTAAATTTGAGACTATTAACTCCCTATCTATAGGAGGGAAGAAAAAGGTCTTGCTCTCCATTCAGAAAAAAAATTCAAAGAACATAAGTCTAATCTTTCTTGCTAGGCAAGCTATCAACTAGAAGGAAAGAAATAATTCTAGATAAATGGAAATAAATAAATCCTGGAGCAATTTAATCAAAAAATAATAATAACAAATATATTGTTTATTAACATTATTAAGCTAGTTTCCACAATGATAATTAAGATACTTTCCTAATAAGTTTGTATGGTTATCCTAGTACGAATAACCCCAGTTCCTTGTAGACCTAGAGTTCTCTTGTTGGGTTCCATATCATCCAAGCAAGGAAGAGACTCACACCTACAATTCTTCTCAGTAGCTGAATTATAGCCGACACATCTAGGCTATTTCATTGTAGTCTGCAACTGTTTGTTCATGGTCATGCTTGTTAAGAAAAAAAAAATTCGTTTTTACTTGATCTGTCATCTTCATGAACTCTGAATACCATTTTGACTTTTGTGAATAATAATAACAATAATGTAAATTGACTTTTTAAAGGAAACAAGAACAAAAAATGAACAGAACAGCCATATCTGCTGTTTGAGAAGTGCATAGGTGGTTGTTAGTTTTCAAGACTACTCATGTTGAGATACATGCTCTTTGTTGATGTAGGTTAGGACATTATGTGACAAGGCGAAAGAGATATTGATGGATGAAAGCAATGTTCAGGTATGAGTTTTTTTTTTTCTCTTTGGTGTGATTCCTCTCTGTTTTCTACCTTAATTGTTTATATACCTGCTTGTTACGCAATGAAATTTTGGTTTGTTTCAGAATCTTAATGAAACTGTTAGGCAAACATTCCTTTAGCTTTCTTGGGAAAATAAAAAATTGTTTGTGCTTGGTGATAAATATCTAGATTTTTGAGAGCCTATTTGAAATTCTAGTTGAAATATTTATGTTGACATGACTTGTTAGTTGTTACTCTTAGTCTGATTATAATCGAGTAATAGTCTGGCACATACAGGATGGAGAAAATAAGAATTGCCAGAATTGCTCTAGTTTGTTTGGTGTTTATAGAAAGCCAAGTTTTGATTCGTTTTATCATTCTATCTCTCAAAGGACTGTTCCAATTTCTGGTTCTAGCTCCAATGCATATAATCTACTTGTAGAAGAAAAAAAGGGTGTTATTATGTTAGAAGGTGACAACTAGAAATCTAAAATGCTTAAATGTTCATTATGATCAGTATCAGAATTTTCTTTTCTGGATTTAATTAGTTGATTTTAGAAGTTATCATTCCCAGCTCAAATGCGTATGAATCCACATGGATTTCTAAATCTCAATTACAGATATGTATTGTGTATGCATTCTCTATCTTCTATTTTACAACTTGTTCTAGATTATGGTGACTGGTAATCACATTGTGTGTATATGAATGGAATTGTATTGCTATTAGTAAATCTGGAGTACTTCCTCAAATGCTTGTATAAAGCTTCTGTATTGTAAATTAGAGAGACAAGTTAGAGACATTTGGTCAATAGGAAAAAACAGAGGACCTTGGTGGCTTGGTATTGTATTTAAGTCTTTAAGATCACTTTGTTTTTAGATGAGGAACATGGGCTTCTACAATAATGAAGTTTCTATTGAGGTTGATCAATAAGAGGTCAAGTAGGTAATAGGGGATAATAACTCGCTGCTGACAACAATGATACTTGATGGTAGTAAAATAGCTACGTAAGTGGCTTTGTTTCTCTTGAGTAAGAAACAAGAAAATATGCATCCTCCATGACGAATCTATTATAATACATATTTTGTGAATTGGTGTAAGCTCTTGTAATCTAATAGCAGTTGTAATTACAGTTTACTGTGTCATCTTAAAACATATTTTGTCATAACAATATATGGATTTTTCTACGTGTGCAGCCAGTAAAAAGTCCTGTGACTATCTGTGGTGACATTCATGGGCAATTCCATGATCTTGCTGAACTTTTTCGTATTGGAGGAAAGGTATTATTTTTGCTGTTACATTTGTTCTAATATAGTGGTGTTCGACCTTTGGAGGTCAAACATGATGATTTTCAAAATGATTAATATGCAAGATCACGTCTTAGCAGTTCAAATCGCTATAATTTTTTAAAATGATTAGTGTGCAAGATTGCTTCTTAGCAGTTCAAATCGCTATAATTTTTTAAAATGATTAGTGTGCAAGATTGCTTCTTAGCAGGTCAAATGGCTATAATTTCTTCAATTTTGTCATGTACATCTCGAATTAGAAACATAAACGAAAGGATGCGCCTTGCTCTAAGACTTTTGCTATTGCAGGGCGTGGGGGGTTGGTGGGGTCAAATTGCAGACTAATGAGATACATGACAATGTTTTTTATATGTAGTGAATGAGCATCAATGATTGGCACGATCGTAATGTTAAAATTTCAGGCTCAAATCGATTGACTACCTTTTTTCTATATGTAAATATGAACAAAATTTTGAAGGATGTAGTTAATGAGATTAAGAGAATGTGTGTATATATATATATATTTTTTTTATTTTTGTGTTGGGTCTAATATCAGCTGTCCAGTAAATTTATGATTTTAGGCATCATCCAACCATTTGTGATCCACATGGCTATTGAGTTGTTTACCTGCCATGCCAGATTATTCTTTTGTATTTCTTTTGTGATTGCATCACATCGATATCATCTCTAATACCATTGCAGTGCCCGGATACAAATTACTTGTTTATGGGGGATTACGTGGATCGAGGGTATTATTCTGTTGAAACTGTCACGGTAAGTAGATCTGAAATCATGTCTTTCTGATGTATATATTTTCATGCATACACCGTTTGATTTTATGATGATCCATGTGCCTGAATATATTGCCTTAGTACTAGTGGGACGCTGACAGGCAGAAGATGCTATACTAGTTTACACGTGCTACATTTGGGTTGATAATTGGTTAGATGTTAATTGTATCTTGTACAACATCACAAATATTGACATCTCCAACGACCAAGCTCATGATGGCTAGGGAGTGAATGTAATTACAATGTAGGGGCATATAGGCGGCCATTGTATTTTGAGAGCATGATCATCAATTCCTACCTGAAACACAATACTACTATTTGTATTAATGCCGAGATGCATTAGGGGTAAGTGAAATATTAAGCTTTTCTGAATTACGCAAGTGATGCATTTTTTTGTTGAACTTCATTCCTGAATATCCCCATGTTTAAATTACTTGGTGTTGAACGAGGTAGTGATTATTGATTCATCTGTTGAGCCTATTGCCTAAGCACATGTATTTATAAGTGAGTTCCAGCTGCCTATTCTTTGGTCACCCAAGTGTAGGTGCTGAGCTGTGGTTTTAGTGAATTATTGAAATAGATAGAATTTCAGGTCAAATGCTGTTTTCTGTTGGCCAAAATACAATAAAAAAAGCAGTTCTTTAAAAAACGCTACTTTAAAATACATGGAAAGAGCTTAGACTTTTAAAATCTGATATGTGGTAGCTTTCTAGTCTTTCCCTTTCTTTTGTTTTGCTCTTCTCTTTTACTATTTTATTGGACCATCAGAGGGAAAGATTTGATGTAGAAACACCGCTTATGTAAGAGTTTTTCTATAATGAAAGAAAAAACCAAGGAATCTCATATTTTCTATTTATTATAGCAGAAGAATGATCTGAAGTTAAATGAGAATGATATTTCAAATTCGAGTTTATTAGGGATAATAGCTGGTTTGGATATCAGATAGAAAAAAAGACTTGTTTGCTAATGAAATTGAAGCTAAAAGTTCTTGTTTTGCTTTAAATTTCAAATCAATTACTTTTCACAACCAAAGTTATATGGATCTGTTACTAGTTTAATTCCAAACATCAAAATCAGTAACAAACTAACAAGGAAATTAATAGTAAGAGGGAATCTGTCGATTTCAAATTTTTTATTTCTAGTGTTTTTGTTTACTTGTTCTAAAGTTTAATGTAGTTATAACTATGTCTCTAAAGTTTTAAATTCCGCATCAGGTTTGCATTTGGACTGCACTAGGTTGAATATAAAGTAAAATTTATCTCTCCCTCTTTGAAAGAATGCAGTAATGCTTCTGCCACCAATGTATAATATAAGCAGTATGATCAAGATGCAATTGGTGAAGTCTATTTAGCATGTTCAAGGCTATCTTGACTGATACCAATGCTCTTATGTTCAGCTCTTGGTGGCTCTGAAAGTACGGTATCCTCAGCGAATTACAATTTTAAGAGGGAATCATGAAAGTCGGCAGGTATTTTTCTGATCCATTTTTTTTTCTTGTTAAGATAGAATTAAGTACTTGGTTAGCCATCAATTTTTTGTTTGCATGTTACAACTATCAAATAGGCAAGAAACAGACTGTGTGGATAATCATATCAATGATATATTTTTTGTAAGGTATTTGTTTGACCCAACAGATGTTCCAGCAGTTTTATATAATTTTGTAAGGTATTTGCAGACCTAGACCTTTGAAGATTTGCTGCGGGTGAAATTATTTCACACAAGAAAGGATATCCCCCTTGAATCTTATGCATGCTAAATGCTAACCATGTCTGCATATGATCAAAATCATGATTTATTGTATATTGCCCTTTTTTCCTCACAATATGTTTTTCAGTTTCTTTTTATTTCTGGGAAACTACATAAATTGACTTGTAGAAACCACTCTCTTTCTCCCTACACCCCAAAATCAGTCTCTCTCACACGTCATCCTACTAGCAAGATTGTTCTTATTTCATGTCTTTGTCGACTTTCTCTAACGTCGTGGTTTGACTGATTGGGAATGTTACTTGGTTTTGGCTTCACCATTGATTCAACCAAAAAGCTGTTGGGTTTGACTGTGTTCATTGCAGTTGAATTAACAAGCCACCATTGAACTTTTGCAGCCACAACTAGATTCAGATCACCTGTGAGAATGAGAAATTATGTTGTCAAAAGCATTTAGTGTTTGTGATTTTCATGAGAAGGCAGTGTGATAACATGATTAAAAAATGTTAATGACAAAATAGTCTTTGAATTTGATGACGCCCTTGTTATCATTGATATCTGAACTAGGAGAAAGGAGATGATAACTTTTTGTTGTTTAAAGTAGTCAATGACTGTGGCAGGTAAGATCGGATTTACTCTAGTTGTCAAATGCACGACAACACATATATAAATTTTTTGGAACATCTGTCAGGTCAAATGAATAAAACCAAATGAAACCCGACTGTTTGGTTTGGTATTATGAGAATATTTGACAGTGGTGGGTTGTATTTTGTGGGAGATAACTTTGCCTGCACATAAAAAAACAGAAAAGACATCATGCGGGTGAAATAACCCTGAACAAGGACTTTTTTTGGGCAAAAATCTTATATTGTGTGTGTAGGATAAAGGTCTGGAGTCATCACTCTAGCAATAAGTTTTGTCTGTTTGTTATTATAGCTAGCATCTTTTCAATGGGTTGTTGATCAAAGCCCCGTATCCCCCCTCCCCCCCAAAAAATCCATGTTTAGTTTTATATCCTCTGGTCTAGGTGTCTGAAAAGCGGTTTTGTGCATAATTACAACTAGTTTCTCAGTTATATGAACTAACTATTTTTTATGTGCAGATTACTCAAGTCTATGGGTTTTATGATGAATGCCTTCGGAAGTGAGTTTGTTGCACCCTTATACTTATTAAGATTCGGCGTGCTCTTCTGTTTATTTCCTCATCGTTTGCAGACACATTTCACTCAATCTGTTATACCTCAGAAGATGATAGAATATTGACATACACTGGTACAGCAAAAAAGTATAAGGGTGTATTTCACTTTTGGTATCAAATTATGTTAAGGGTTACTTTGTTTCAAGAGCATGCTGAGACCACCTCTCTCAAGTGAGCAAACCATTGTGCAAAGACTTTCAGAATAGCAAAAAGTGACCTGTTCAACATCTTTTTGTTACTTTGTGAGAACTTGGTATTTTTTCTAAGACGATTATGCAATTTACAGCAACAAACTTTTATGTTTAAGTATATCTTCTCAAAGTATAACACTCTTTAACCCTTTCTAAGAGGAAGGCATCCACCAAGTTGAAACCAACTCCAGGTTTCTCAAATATATTAGAGGGAAAGGATTCTCAAAATATTTGATTGATGCATGAGTTGGTATTTCGTCGACATGTATCGAGTTACCGTATGTTGCATGTGCTGTCAACACATTATATTGTCCCAAGTTGATGGTTGATTTTACGTAGATGCATGTATCCATAATATATACAAAGATGTATAGTCTTAAGATGAAGGATCGTGCGAGAATAGGAGTTAAGATGAGAAGCATAAGAAGGGATGTGGACCCTTGATCACTTTTAATGTCACCCCACCCATGAATTGCACTTATCATGGGAATTGATCCGGTGCATTTCGATGCACCACATTAGTGTTGATCTTCAATCAGGAGTGTACCAAGGGTGGAGATCTCTTCTTACCCTTCTCACCATAACTTCCATTCTCACCGGAACCCAACCCGTAGTTTTAATTTGATCCTATCTCTCTTTTCTTGCTCCCAAGTTGCTTATTTTGTGGTTGTGAGTAATCTTCACTAATGGTTGCACGCATGCTTAATCTCCTACTACTGATGCACATTCTGGTGTAATAGTTGCAATGTTTATTACACTGGAAGCCCCACAATCTGATTCTTTTATTACTATTGCTATATAATTTTACTTGCTGATTTACAGGTATGGCAATGCTAACGTTTGGAAGACTTTTACAGATTTGTTCGATTATTTCCCATTAACTGCATTGGTTAGTATGCATATTTTTTTAGTTCACTAATATAACAAATGTTAACATGTGCAAGTTTTACACATTTACTGTTTTTCCTCCGGTTTTCAGCCAATTAAGTTTTGGTTATAGTTAAATTGTTTGAATCAGCAAATTTCTTACATGAAATGTCTGTTTTTATGTCCATTAAAGGCCCTGCTTTATCTCCAATCTGATTTAGATCCATTTGGTTATTCTTTTCGTGCAGGTTGAATCAGAAATATTTTGCCTTCATGGTGGGTTGTCACCTTCTATCGAAACCCTTGATAATATAAGAAATTTTGATCGTGTTCAAGAGGTTCCACATGAGGGTCCTATGTGTGATCTTTTATGGTCCGACCCAGATGATCGTTGTGGTTGGGGCATCTCACCCCGTGGAGCTGGTTACACCTTTGGCCAAGTATTATATCCTTTAACATGTCTGAGTTCTAACACCCTAGTGAGGTTGTGTCAACACTTATTCTATAACATATTATAATCTATTCACAGGATATCTCTGAGCAATTTAACCATACCAACAACCTAAAGCTTATTGCTCGAGCTCATCAACTTGTCATGGAGGGATTCAACTGGGGACATGTAACTACTTGAATTCCGCTTCTTTTTATTTTTTTGAGGTCCCTTTTGGATGATGCTGTTGTTGATTAAACTTGTTTTAACACCTTGAATTTTGGTTGACAGGATCAAAAGGTCGTCACCATCTTTAGTGCGCCAAATTATTGTTATAGGTGTGGGAATATGGCTTCTATCTTGGAGGTCGATGATTGCAAGGGCCACACTTTCATTCAGGTTACTCTCTCTCTCTCACGAACACAGATTCACCCACGTAACTGTGACGACTCTTGTCTACGTTTTAAAATGCAACCTCATGCTTAAGTTCTATTCGGCAGTAACATTCATCAGTTTCTGTGTGATACCTGAAGGGCAGGGCTACTCCTCCTTGACCAGAAAGTCTTCTGTTGGAGTTGCAGAAACAAACAATTTGCAAATATGCAAGGGGTAGACTATATATAAAGATACCTCCCAACCTTTATAAAGCCAGATGGCCACCAAGTTACCATACATGAATAACTCCTCTGCCTTCATTTGGTTTTAATCATAAAAAGTTGGATATTTGCCCATCAGCAATCATCACAAAATATTATTATCATTGATTTCTATCCACTAAGATTTCTCCTTTTGCTTATTTAGACTTGAATGGGTTTGTGCATAGTCAAATGTAATATTTGTGTTCATGGATTATTTTTTGCTCCAAAGAAGACATTTCATGTAAAAGATGGAGGTGATGGTATTAATGATGTTTGGGTTATTGCAGTTTGAACCTGCACCGAGGAGAGGCGAACCTGATGTAACAAGAAGGACGCCCGATTATTTCCTGTAAGGTTGAGTAGCCGCTAATGCTTTGTCGGCGTGAAGGGTGTTTTGACATGATGGAAAGTTGTTAAATGGATAGAAGGAAGGTAAGAGAAGTGGTTGTGTTCTTGATTTGAAGTGATATTACGGTCGTATCTAACCTAGGAAGGAAATGGATTATGCTTTTGAGTGTGTAATCTATGATTATTTCGTTTGTAGGTTCTTGTGTGTATGTATATCGACCGATGACCGATCTCACCTTGTTCTGGTTTTGTATTCTTTGTATGGGCTGGTTGCATGGATGAAGTGATGGTAGTAATATGCATATGCAAAGTCAATGATTCCTAATGCCTGGTTTGTTGTTGTAAAGGATGACGTAACATTATGGATGTTGGGTTCAGGTTGTCTTATGCTGGTCGGTTGTAAAGGGTCGTTTACTAAGCGCTTACCAGGTGACCATGGAAAAAACCAAGAATTTTACCTAGTTTGGTGACGAATTTTACCTGTAAGAAGCGAGTTTGGTGACGATTTTTACCCCATCAGCTTTTGGTGCCCTTTGTTTGTATGGTGTGATGTTATGGCCTTTGAAAGTCTTAAAACAATGTGATTCTCGTAATTTCTTCGTGTATAATTGTATTATTGTCCAATGTCCGTCAACAAAATTTGCGTGTGGCAATTTTGCTGCTCACTCGTAACCAATCTTAGGGGCCGTTTACAAACGGCAAATCTTCAAGGAACATTCTCGGTTTAAAATGAATTGTTGGTAGATGTCTTTTACCCAGTAAGAGTATACTGTGTACGAGCCTTTTCTTTGACTTACCGGGTAAGATTCTCGGTTCTTTTATCGGGTAAAATTTTTGGTCCTTGCTAGGACAGTGCCAGAGGGAGCATTCGGCCTTAACTAGATCAATCGAGCTAGATTTTTCCGGAAATCGAGATATATATATATATATGTATGTATGTATATATATATATATATATATATATATATTAATCTTTTTCAATTTAACGATTTATTGAAGAAAGTTGATTATGAAAGAATATGTTAGGAAGTGAAATTTTTATTTTACTTTGTCATTTTAAGACATTTGTATTTTAATTTGTAGAACTTTTAATATAATACACGATATGAAGTTTTTTATTCATTACTCGTCAAATCGATCTATAGTCTTGGTACAAGTATAACTGAGCCTTAAATAAGATTCGAATTGCGTGGGTTCTTGCTATGCTTCTTGATAGAGTAAGCGACGTAGTAAGCTCTTACCAGATAAAATGTTGATAAACAACCCCTTATTTGTAGTAGTTACCGATTTTAAAAAAAAATTGTAATCGGTGTATTTGGTGAAGGCATGGTTCTTTTCACCATATTTTTATTATTTTAAAGTTTTTAATAATTTAAATAAACTTAACATTTATTATTATTTTTTAAATATAATTTGTGTTTCAGTTAAACTTATTTCTAGTATTTATTACATAATTTATTTTTAAAATATTTCATTTACTCCAACAAAATCTTGTATTTGGCCTATTTGTATAATATGGTAAAGAGGCCGACGGAGGATAAGGTTCATCGTTGAGAGAGAAACAATCTGAAGCACCAGCTATGAAAACACGAGAAATCGGGTTTCCAAATCTAAAATAATTGCTTCATTGTTACGAGTCCTGATAGTGTTAGATTTATGGGAATAAACCACCAAATCAAGCAAATCTGTTTAAAAAAGTATAAGGTGGTTCAAGAGAATAGATATACGATTGTTTGTGAATAAAACAAAAAAGACGGTAACGTTACTTATAATAAAAATCGTAACGAATGATGACTGTTAGAGATTTTAGTTATCTGATTCGAACCTCTTGTAACTGTGTTCTTTATGCCAGCTTGTTTGCCTACCACTTTTAAGTGTTAAAAAAATAAAATAAAACTATGTTATGCTAGGCTAAGTTAATTATGCTTTTCTTTTAGGGATTATTTGCCGAATGCTTACTTGATAAGTGTTTGTTGGGTGTCATATCGGGTGATCATAGCAATGATTGGAAATCTTACCCGATAAGAGGTATATTAAGGACTAAAAATCTTGCTAGGTAAGTGAATGAAGAGACCCTTATCCAGAAGGTCTTACTGGGTAAAAGACACTTGGCACAATCCATTTTGATGGTCGAGATAATTATCTGATAAGGAAATGAATATGGTGACTTTTATCAGTAAGTGTTTACCCAGTAAATGTTTAGTTAATGACCACTTAGGGGCCGCTTACCAAACATTTACCGGGTGTTACTTACCTTCCATGTGAGCATAACAAGGACCTATAATCATACCCGGTAAGAGACATAATAATGATCGAGAATCTTACTCAGTAAGTAAGGGAGGTCACTCTTATCCACTAAAGTCATACCATGTAAAAAAAAAACCCTAGCAAACAATCCATTTTGATGGCCGAAAACTGTTACCAGATAAGATAAGTGAAGGTGGTGTTTGTACTGGTAGACGCTTACCCGGTAAGTATTTGATAAATGACCTCTTAATCACATAAATATGTTCAGATTCTCCAAAAAACTTAACAAATGTTTAATTGCTTATTTGTTTACTGCAACATTTAATTCGTAAATTACCAATGATGTATGACTACCGTCTCACTTTCATGTAATCGGTCATAGTTTTTAGATAATGAGATTGAAAGAGTACACAATTTATTTTTACCGGTAATACTAATATGTTATTTTCGAGTTTTGTGCCACAAAAAATGAAGATCCTATCAGAATTGTTAAAGTGTGTATGTATGTATGTATGTATGTATGTATATACATAAATAAAAGATAACAGTAATTTTGATTTTATAGATCAAACAATGTACAAAATTTAGCAAGTTGCTTCGCACATAACATGAAATGATCCATTAAATGGATAACCACGTATAGAAAAGTCTCCTTAAAACATTATTTATCATGTTTGTAATTCACATACCATTTTCCCTATATTTGTATAAAAAAAGTTCGTCCCACCTTGATCACTGATTACATGGTAAGATGAAGAACACGTTTCTTTCGAGAACCTCCTTTGACCTTAATCAGATGACCCCACATCTTGGCGCAACGGCTCACCATTTTCTTGAGACTGACTCCATCATGTCCCTTTTCGTGTTTGACCACCAACTGATGCTCCTTGTCTTCCTCCGTGAAACGTTCTCCAAGAGAGCTTCTGCATTCAGCCTCTTCTTCATTGAAAATCTCTATCAAGTGTTTCTTTCTCTTCTCTTCTTCAATTTCAAGTTCATCGTCGTCTTTCAGGGCACTCACTTTCTCTCCGAACAACACTCTTGGATGGGCTTTTCGGGTTCTTCTCGACATGGTGATATCATAGCGGGGCTTATTCGGCTTGGATTCGCTTTCCATTTGTGTTGCAAGACTTTGCTCAATTGGGAGGCCACAAATGGTGATGAGAAGAAATCTACCAAACAACTATAATTAAGGAGGTGAATTTGATTTGGGATGCTTGATAATGAATTTATTGATCTTTGTGGTCTTGAAACAATTGGTTGGTGGCCAATTTTGTCAAGTCTTTTTTAATGGTAAGATGTCTTATTTACAAATAGTGGATTTAATTGCCTAACAAAAATAATTTGAAATATGTGCCACAAAAATTGATACAACAACCCTTCCATAACTCTATTACACACACGCACACATATATATACATATATATATATATATACATATATATACATATATATATATATACATATATATATACATATATATATATAGGGTTGGGTTCACGTGAGACCAGCCTGTTTCGTGAGACCGCATTTTTACACGTAAACTTCACAGCAAAAACGCTGTGAAGGTTTAAAAAAAGTCGAACATTCACAGCAAAAACACTGTGAAGGTTTTAAAAAGT